GCTTCAATAGCCCTCGTTATGAGAAAAAAAAGATAAAATTGTCCAATGCCGTGTTTCCAATACTCCGCTTTATTGCCCTTCGAATTGATTAGGTACAAGCGCACGTACAGATAACCTTGGGCATAAATTCAGCGCTAACTGGTCCTGCCTGCAAGTATTTGCTGGCCATCGAACGAACTACGCACCAATCATCATATCCATGCGACCTGATGAGAAAATTAATTTAAAACTCTGTAAATCGTGAATCGTTCCACGTTGAACTGTAAGTGCACTCTCGGCGCATGGATTGCCTCCTACTCACATGGGAATGGCGTACATCAGCGCATCAGAGGGAACGAATCTCCCGTGTAGCCATCTTTGGCCGAACGAACCAGAGCCGACACCGATATTTAAAGTGTGTAATTACACCTCGCTTCGAAGTTTGAACCGAACGGAGGATCCATGTTCCTACATTTTCTCAGTTACCTGCTGAGGTCAGCTGAGTGCCATAGCTGGGTCCATGAACTGCTGCAGCACCATCTCGTTTGCACTTATGAACGGGTTACATCTCTGAGCAACTCAGGCAGATGGCAAATGGCACAGTACACAGGACAGGTACCTGCCCATGGGAAAATTGCAAGCGATGCGTATTCCGAGAATTTCATATTTTCGATGTCAGTTGGTTGTACACCACCAGCAACAGCACTCATTTTAAAATTTATATTTATGTGCCGCACCATAAATTTAATTTAATTTAAAGCACATCAAGAAACAAGTCATCAAGAGGGTGATGGTGAGGGCAAGGAGCGCTCTGGTTGGAAGTCTCGGAATCTGCCGAAGAAATAGTTTAGAACTGAAGACGAACGTGTTCTCTTGTTCTTCTCGTTGGTAGTGTTATTGTCTTGGATGGATTAGCATTTCTTGAATACTGTTGGTGGTGGTTGTTATTGTTGTTGAGCTAGCTGAGGAATGCTTTTACTTCTCGTTTTGGATTCGGATGTCGAGATCAGACAGAGCATGACGCTTGAATGCCACCGGAGTAGGTATGCCGTAGACAGACAGTCCTCGGGATTCTCATTCAAATGTTGTAAATTTAATTAAAAACTTGATGTGGAAAGTAAATTAGAAATTGAGTTTAAACCGTTGCAGCACAAATTAATTTACAATGGTTTTCCGCGATGGAAGCTCAAATCAGACGCATTATTTATTCAGCAACTCCAGGAATCGAACCTGGTTATTTTCCCTCGATTCTCTGAGATGTCACCGAGCGCGGAAACTGCGCCGGCAAAAATTCCCTCTCCCTCTCTGAGCTCAGACTCAATTAAACTAAACTCACTTCCCAACCCGGAAGCACATCGAAAGGCGTAAAGGGGGCAAGTCGAACGGGAACCGATCGGTGGGAGTAACTTTCAGTCAACTTTTCTCCACCCTGCCGGTTCTGAGCATTTCAATCACTTTGTGTCAGCTGGTCGCCTTGGCCCTGTCTCGATTGCCGTCAACCATGTAAAGAATTCCAAATTCGATAAGCGCTTCACCAAAACGAGTGCTATTAAACTAATTCACTTTGGCTCGGAAAAGAATCCTGGCAAGAGCGGGGTTGTGGGTGGCGATAGAAGGAAGCCAATGTCGGTTCTTTGATAGACTTGCCCGCTTTCACCATTCTTCGGTGGTGTCGATAAAGTTAGAGTGCGACGGAAGAGGACGACTTCGCCGAACCAAGAACGAAACAGAAGTGGACAAAAGTTGGTCGCTTTGATGGATGGAAAGTTGAAACGATTCGCAACAAAGAGGAAGTTTGTGTTGCCTCAGTGAAGTCGAGTAACGGAAGATGGGTAAATTAAGTGGATAAACTCATATAGATTGATGCGATGGAAAAGTGTATCCAGTTTGTGCTAGGTTGTACAGGGCTGGAAATGGGGATGTGAGTGTTTTTTTTGGTGATGATTGGTCAATCACTTCCTGTGAAACACAAGCCGATTGAGTAAACTGAATTTTGTCTTCTTCTCGGTATCTCCCAAAAAGGTTGGTAAATTTAAAATAATAATAAATGTATCTTAGTCAGCAGGATCTCTGCGTACAGGACTACAGGAGGCACAACAACGTAGGGGAACTGAGGGTAAGATGGACACCTTAAGGAATAATAGCAGTACGCTGAAACCTCCGTTTACGAAGTGAATTTCAAAATGGCGTCAGACATCGATTTTCGGTCCCTACACGTCTCCTCGATTCTCTTACCGGATGCCGCCATCTTGGATTTCAAAATAGCGACAGAAATGAATTTTATGTTCCTAAATGTTAATCCGATTCCAAAAAATCCACTATTTGAATTTGACAATATTTTCATGTAGGGGAAATAGCGTCATTGGGACGGTTTGGATGGATATTTTTGGTCTCTATTGGAAATTAAGTCGATTGCTGAATTTATGTATGGGCCCAAATAAGGGACACTTAGGCCGACAATACATGCATTTTCCCTATATCTATTTTAGATAAATCTTAATAAATAGCACTTTGTTTGAAAATTAAAAATGTTCCAGAAATAAACAACTTTTTTTAAGTGCGGTTAAAACGGACAGGTGCTGGAGGTGAGACGGATAGTGTTGAAAATTCAATGTTTCTATAATATAAAAACAATTGAACTAATTGTGTGACTATTGTAGGACATAATGAGGACCCTAGAACGCGTTGGCCACGTCTGAATATGTTCGGGATACCGGGAGGAGAAGGCCATCGGAGGCACATCCGAAACCCATCATGTGAGCATGAGCAAGATTGACCGCCCACGGTTTCTACTCTGTTATTGCCAGATCAGCTGTAATTACACGCCCGAACACGGCTCAAGAAAGGAATGGGTAGGAATGTGTTGACACACGATTTGATGGAAGCCGAGAACACCTCTGCACTTCCACGAGGAATCACTGGGATATTGTGTAAGAGGGCTGGGATTGCAGCAGGGTTCGTTGTGGTAACAACAAGCTGAATTTATGTCCTAACGATCATATAATGCGAAGCAGCTTGGGATTGATTCCATGATATTCTGCTCAGTTAGCAAAAACGTTTACAACTAGGAAAACGAGCTTCTTTTATTACAACATAACAATGATCGATTGGCTGTTATTCCAATCTATTCACATTAACAAGTGATTAACGAATCTTGAATGTGGAGAGGCTTGAGGTTGGACTCATGATGCTCTACTCAGTAATCAAAAATGGTCGCTCTAAGGCCTCCCATATCACATCATTCAAGCTACGATCGCGTTGTTTTTCAACCATTCAAAACCGGCTCCTACTGTGACGTTGGTAACAATGTAAAGTTTCTCAAAACACCGTTGTACAAAACCTTATGGGTGGAATTAAGATAAAAGTTCGGACATTTGGATTTGGTGAATAACTAGAGTGAAATAAATATTCCGTAACCAAGCTTATATATAGTATTACATTCCCTGATAATTTCATGACAATCGGTTGAGAGACTTATTTTTGGCGAGTACTCAATCTGGTGCAGGACGTCTCATAATAAAAGGCAAAATTGATGAGCGCATTTGCAATTATTGATTTTTTTTTATTTTCCCCATTTTTGGTTTTAGCAGAGGGAGATAATATGTTTTATTTTTAAATTAACATTCTTGAAAACTTAGAAAAAATCAGAATCTGAGTTCGCAAAAGTTGTTAAAAGCCATAGAATTCACTACCCCGTGATGAAAATTGTTTTTTTTTTATCTTAAGATAGGGGATTTTTTTAAAATTAAAGTCACTTTAAAACCCAAGAGCTCATTCGTGACTTGTCCGGGAGTAAAATTTGAACTCGTGACTTTGGCGTGAGGGGCTTGGATGCTTATTCCTAAGCCGGGGTCCCCCGAAGATATTGTTTTATATATTGCAGATTAAATTATTGTATGTTTAAACTCTGACCTGATCATAACATGGATAAATACAAGTGGGTCTATTTGTATCAGTCTAACAAATTTATATTGTGGGTCAAATAACATAAAACAGGATGATATTAAAAATCTCAAAATTCTTTAATTATATCGAACCTCTTAGCAAAATCATGAACAGCTTTTGTAGTGAATATTCCAATGGCGGTGAGTTAGTAACAACGCGACCCGCCTAATTATTTAGCAGATTCCGAGTCAGCTAATTGTATGTCAAGTCAGACGATAGCCAGATTGGATCACTTTCGCTGGAATCACGACGATCATCGATGTCACCAGACCACCCAGCAGGAGGATCAACAGAACGCATTAGCAGCATTAGCAGAAACATATAAACACCCGCATTGTTCTCACACTAACCAAGAACTAACTTCGTAGCATAAGTTGAATTTGTAAATTAGTCTTAATCGATCAGTGAATAAAAGAGAAGCATAGCTCCTTTTTTGAGTTTCCCTCCGAAGAAGTTCTTAACTGATGCATGTTAATCTGATATTTTTCAGTGCATTTAAATGCTATGCAACTTACTAGCATGGAGGCGTAATTACAATGTAAAATAAATTCCAACAGGATAAGAAGCCATTTATCCTGCCTGAAAGCACGAAACACATTTTACTCCACTTAAAAATCAATCACTCAAAAAAGCTCTCCTAAATGAGCTGTCATCAATCACTTCCGGTTTTCCAACCCTTTAGATAGGTTGGAACGGAAATCACCTCAACCGAACCTAATCTTCCAACGCAACGTTAAACCCACTTTTCCTCTGTTCACCGACAGACGATGATCTAAGAACACCGAAAGAAGGTAAAGTAATTACTGTTTGAAAGTCGACCCACAAATCATACCTCAAGGTCCGTCAACGACAGACCGGCCAAATCGATGCTCGGGTCATCACAGCACTTTTCTGCTCTTCCAACTCAGTCCCGGATGCTGTGTGTCCATTTCCAAGTGGGTGGAAATTTTGCACTGACAGTGACGTTGTTGTCATGCAAAATGAAAGAGAATGGACCTGTTGCTAATGAGTCAAGACTAATCGATTTTCTTTCCTTTCCCATCTCGGTTCGCTTTTGGCGACCCTTCTAATTACAGAAAAATGCAAAAATCCATTAGGAATGGAGTCTGGGGCAATCAACGATTCTCAGATAACGGCCAGCTCAGCGCACGACATCGGCAACGTTGGCCCGCAACATGCCAGGTAAGTTCTAGACTAGGACAGGAGGGACTCACTTAATCTGTTTCGGGCACCGTCTGTGCGTCCTGGATCTTTTGTTCTGCCGGCTTTTGAAACGGTTCTCAAACGAAAGAGCATTTTCTGGTTCATTTTTTAATCTTCCGGATACTACGCGAGGTTCACGCTTCTTCTAATGTACATTTCCGGGGCAGAAGCCATCAGGACAAGGAGATTATGCACTGCACTGCGAAACCGGAGGACTCGGAAATGTGAACATAGACGTGAAGCGTAACTGAAGTAGACTCCTTTCAACAGCAGCGGATTGAATGTGGCCCGTCGACTGCAGGATAACAATCCCACATTATCCTCATCAGGATAACAAATTGCTCTCATTTAAAATGAAAAATCACTATATGTATACCAACCAACTTCGGCCTGGGACGGCAAGGCTTGAGTTACCCATAGTGATGTTGCCGTTGCGTTGCCGGTAACGTGTTCTTTTGCGATTCGTGTTGCTATTGTTCCTCGCGAATCCTTTAAGTGCGAACGCGTTTGGGGTACAGGCAGAGTATAATCTGCCTCCTGTGGTGGGTTCGCTTGTAGAATTTTCCTTGTACTTTGGGTAGGACTCTGAGCCGGCACATATTAGCTAGTTATTTTTATCAGCATAGTTGTAGTTTTTAGGAAATTATAAATAAGCAGATCGATTAAAACGTCGTATCGGTATGGTTCATGTTGTGTTTTACTTGGTGCTATGTGCTTTAATGTGAGCAGGCAGATGGTCTTGCACACAGAAGTGGTTAATGTTTTATTTTATTTTTTACTGCAGAGATGTCACCACTACACTGAAACTAATGTCACGTAACTTTTCCCCATAACATTGTCATGGCATTTACCACCTCTGCCTATTTGTACCCAGCTGTTTCATATTTTCATTCATCAATTAACTGCAAATAGCTCATCAACAATTAAATACTATTCAATCTGCAGGAATAATTGTGAATGTAAATTATGAGCTATATGTAGTAAATTGATATATGAAAATTGGAAAAAAATGAGTACAAATAGATTTATGGCAATATACAATTTGTTATGCTCTTCAGATACAAACAACATTTAAAATTGTCGAACTTCTTAACGGAATCCCTTTATGAAGAGCTTTGAGTGTGTTGGTGTATTTCCTTTAAATTCCGTTATAATTGCTTATCTTTTGACAGAACACTGTGGTGTTGAGTACTAGGCACTGATGAAGTCTGCAAGTAGTAGACGAAATACGCGTATCTGTCAAAAGATAAGCAATTATAACGGAATTTGAAGGAAAGAGATACAAACAGTTTGATTTTACTTGAGCTTACTCAAATACTAATCCGCGAGACAGACAGAAAAACTGTTTTCATTGCCTAAAAATACCATTTCTACACTAATACATTGTATTTCAAGCTTATTGCTTATAGCATATTAGATTTTTGCCTGCTCTCAACTTAGAATTCATTAAAGTACTTTCACAATTTAATTGAGAGCTTTCTATGCCTGTATCATCCTATGCCCAAGGAAGTAGAGAAATGTTCCAACCCGAAAAATTTATAGACCGGACGGTAATCGAACTCAGTTGCCTCCAGCATGGACTTGTTTTGTAGCTGCGCCTTTATCGACTGAGCTTAAGGAGTATCGCTTGTAACTTTTAAAAAAATATTTAAAAATAACATTTTATCATCTTCATTTATTTATGCATAGTATAAATTTTGAGTAATTAGTGAACATAATAAAATAAAAAAAAAACCTTTGCGTTTCTGACGTATTTTGCTGTCCAAAATGTTGTAGTTAATTTGGCTCTAATTTTCTCATTTTTTTTTTACCGATTCAAACCAAACACCCTGCACATAATCGAGAAATTACCAGAGTTCTGTAAGTCACACTTATTGGTCATGTCGCAGTTCTGTATTTACACGGATTATCCTTGGAGTTTGTCCAATGATGAGTTATTTTCATGATATTTTTTTTAATTTTTAATATGAACCTACACAGATAAAAATTCTGAATTTTAATTGTGATGTAAACATTCATTCACGTAGACTTGTATTTCATTTCACGCAACCGAGCAACTTGCAAACAATGTTGTTTGCAAAGATGGGCTTTGTATACAATATTTGCTCCATTGCATGAAATGTGTCAGAACTTTACATGATATATAATGTGAACGTATATGATATGTGACGCTCCATTTATGTGCATCATACTGAACATAAATTTACACTACTTTTTCGAACTGTGTAACACTTTTCGTTGTCAAATCATATCTGAATCGTATATATGTGACTTAGTGGATCATGTACGACTTATTACTATGTATACCGGAAATTATAGGTTTTCCAAATCGTCCAGGACATCAGTTGATTTGTTCTACTAGATCAACCAAGACTGCAATAATGTCTGTAGTATCGAAAAATGTCCAATCAGATTCAAAGTGCCTATGTGGATCATTCATGATGTATTTCCGAGTAATCCAAATGTTCAAGGTTCTTCAAATCGTGCTGGAGTTCAGATAATTTGATCTATCACACAGATAAAAATTCTGAATTTTAATAGTGATGTAAACATTCATTTACGTAGACTTGTATTTAATTTCACGCAACCGAGCAACTTGTAAACAATGTTGTTTACAACAATTGGCTTTTGTTTACAATATTTGCGACATTTCATGTAATGTCTCAGAACTTTAAACGATTTATAATGTAAACTTATATGATATGTGACGCTCCATTTATGTGCATCATATTGAACAGAAATTTACACTACTTTTTCGAACCGTGTAGATCAACCAAGATTGGGACAGATGCACAGTGTCTATATAGGGTCTAGGTTCTCCAAATAGTCCTGCATTTCAGATGATTTGTTTTACTAGATCAACAAAGACTGGGATAATATCTGTAGTATCGAAATATCAATTTGGAAATCCTAGAACATTTCGCATACATGGAAATAGGTTGGCATGATCCACATAGAGACTACAAATTTGTTTGGACATATTTCGATACTAAAGATATAGAAGTAGTCTTGGGTGATCTAGTAAACAAATAATCTGATCTCCAGAATGATTTCAGAACCTATAGCATCTTGTATACGTAGCAATACGTAGGACACGATCCAGACACTTGGAATCTGCTTGGACATTTTTCGATACTACAGACATTGTTGCAGTCTTGGTTGATATAGTAGAACAAATCAACTGAACTCCAGGATGATTTGGAAAACCTAGAATATCCGGTATACATGGCAATTTCACGCATATATACGATTTGTTTATGATTTGACAACGAAAAATGCTATGTTCATATTGGAAATAAAAAGAAACATGAAAATGTCCCACATTGGACAGACCCCAGGGAATTTCCGTGTAAATCTGGTGTGTGAGTTATGGAATTGAGATCATTTCTCGATTATTTGCAGGGTGTTAGCTTTGAACCGGTAAAAATTGAGAGCCAAATGAACAAAAAAATTGATGACAGCAAACCCAGCCAACAATTCTGTTCACATTACTGAATGGTTACTCTGCTATGTGAATCTTTATTCGGTAAAAATAAATCGTATAAAGTGCATAAAATTCAACTATACGTACAAATCTGGAGGCCATATACGTGCATGTGGATAAATACTCCTACATATGATTGCATATGATTCAATAGGGTACTTTATACAACTTCATGTATAACTTTATCTTGCATCTAATATGATTTTGTATATGCCAATATCTTATTTAAAATGTTATTTGTACGACTTACAAATTACATCTCTAAAATTATGGCAGTTCAAAGAGCAGAAAGCATGAAAAAATACCTGGTGATATTGGTTTGAATATAAGTTGGAAATTGAAATATAATGAGTTATCTTTTGAAATTATTAATATATTTAAAGCTTAAAGTAAATATTATCTGCAATACCTAGTTTCGAACCAAAGATCTTTAGCTCCGTAGTCCTGCTGCGATCCTCGCTGGCATATGAGCACGTATATTCGAAGCAATAAATTTCAAATTATGATGCCTCAGCCTCGCTTGTATACGTGATTAAATCTAATTCGATCTGGTGTATTATACGATATCATTCCTCCTCTAGCTGAAGCTGCTAAGAGCAGTGCAGATTGTATTATACAATCTTGTTCTGCATGATACATGACTTATTATCTCATATAATTTCAACTGTGCATTAATGTGATTCGTTTGTGATTAATTTTCAACAAAAATGGTTCCAAGAAAACCAGCAATGAGTACATATTTAGGTTTGGTTGGTTGGTGTGAAGTGCTCGTAATATCTGGAAGGTAGGTGAAGTTTGAGCAGAACTACACCTACATAGTTGAGACGAATTATGTATTCCAAACCCATCCAAAGAGATATGTGGTCCAACGAGCGCGTACGACGAGGAATTTCACTTGGAAACCTCAATATTTACAATGAGCTTTGCTGAAATTTCTTGCTTTTCTTTGACACTCCATTTAACTTTTTTAGTCATCGATCCGGTTCGCCATGCATTGAGTAATTTCTGCATTACTCCTAGTTCCAGTAAATGTAATGCATCGGCAACAATTACGTCTTCCACCATGTTAATCGGCAATTTTATTAACGGTGATACACCCCGTTGATGATCTGGATATTTACCGTCACGGAATAGCTCATGCGTTCTCAACTCCACATCTACTTTTGGAAACACCATGGCTCTCGTATCTGGAGAATATTTCCCCTTGGTAGTGGATCAAATGTTTACCGTTCAAGTTTTCAACGCTTTTTATAAATTCTCGAATTTTTAATGAAATCCGGTGGTTATTCATGAGTACTCCAGAATCCAAATGTAGAAGAAGCTCTTCTATCATAGGTGAAAAAAAAATCATCAGCATTCACGGGTTTACTTGCTCCATAGTAAATTCCGATGGTCATTGGCTGAAGGTGAAGAAACTCATGAATATTGGCAACAATTGGCTGTAACTTTTTGTTTGTTATGGTTCAATATTTTGTTTTGACAACTTACGATATGA